AATACTTTTCGTAAGGTGCCAGGTCTCTGAACCATATAGGAGCACTGACTTGACTGAATTGGTGTTGAAAATCCGAATGTTGCTGACTCTTTATGCTGAGTGGAGTGCAGAAGATCTCCACACTGGTTTCAGGCTAATGAAAGCCTGTCATGCTGTCTGTCCGATCCTGAATTTGACATCCTCGTCTGTGCCTGTGTCGCCTGTAGTTGAAACAGTGCTGCCTAGATAGGTGAAGGAGGCTACTTTCTTTAAGTTTCTCCCATTGACGGTGATTGGAGTTTGTTGTTGTTGGTGGTGGTGGTAGTGCGGTATCTTCATCACTTCTGTCTTCTCTATATTCACCTGAAGTCCCGTCTTCGCTGCCTCTTCTATCAACTTTTTAGTTTTTGCCTGTAGATCTTCAAGTTTGTGTGACATCAGACACAAGTCATCGGTGAAATCCAAATCTTCTGGGATCTTTTCCGCTGTCCAGCATATCCTCCTCTTCTCGCTCCCCACTGTTTGTTGCATGGTCCAGTCAGTTGAACACAATCAGGAATATGATGGGGGGATAGTAGGCAACCTTGTTTCACTCCTGTCTTCACTTCAAAAGCATCACTGAGCTTCCCATTGTGATTGCTTGGCATGTGGCGTCTTCATATAGTTGTTGAATGAGGTTGATAAAGGTTTGTGGTATTCCGTAGTAATGAAGCAGTTTCCAAATTACCTCTCGGTCGACTCTGTCAGATGCCTTCTCAAAGTCGATGAAGTTGAGGTGAGGTAAAGAGTTGACTGCCATTCTATACCCTGTTCTATGATGATGCGTAGTGCAGCGTTGTAATTTGGTCCTCATATGATTTGTATTTCCTGAATCGGGTCAGCCAGCCTGTTCCGGTCATAGTTTTGAATCCAGTGCATCCTTAAGCCTCTCCAGGATGATGCGGCTTAATATTTTGCTTGCACTGGGTGGATAGGAGAGTGGTTCCTCGCCAGTTCTTGCAAACACTGAGGTCTCCCTTCTTCGGGAGTTTGACAAGGCAACCCTTCTTCCAATCAATGGCCAGGTACCTTCCCTTCCTTCCACACCTTCTGCAATAGTGGTGTGAGCATGTCTGCTGTTGTCTCTGCGTCTGTTTTCAGTGCTTCTGGCTGGATCCTATCTGGTCCTGCTGCTTTCCCACATTTCAGTAGCTTTATGGCTTTGCGTTCAGGAGTTTGACTTTTGTTGGAAGATTTATGTTCACTTGTAGTTCGGCGGTTGTAGATGGTATTTCTGGACGAGTTGCAGGTGGTGGTGGTCGATTCAAGAGCTTCTTGAAGTGGTCGGCCCATCGTTTCCTTTGTTCCTCTTCTTTTGTAATTAAATGTCCGTCATCATCTTTTATTGGTTTCGTCTGCGTTGGCCTCTTCCCTCCCAGATAGCAACCTGATTATTTGATACAATGTTGTCAGGTCTCTGTCTCTCTTACCTCCAACCTGTTCTACTTCACTTGCCAATGTGTTGTAGAAGTGTCTTTTCCCCTTGCAAGCACTCTTCTTCACTTCTGTGTCCAGTGTAGTGTTTTATAGGTTGTGTTCAGTTCCTCTTGTCGTTGAGCATCCTTGCACTGGTTTATCTTCTGCTTCACCATCTTCCTCTCCCTACTCGATCAGCTTCCATGTGTCCGTCGAGATCCATTCCCTATCTTCTTTCTTCTTCCTTCCTAATACGGCTGTGCAGGTTTCTTTCCACATCTCTTTCAAAGACTTCCAGTGTTCTTCCACACAGGTTTCTTCACGGATGTTGCTCGATATCTCCCATTTTGTCTTGATGGCTGACGTGAAGATGTCCTTTGTAGTTTCATCCTTCAGTTTCCGAGTGTTGTACTTGACCTGTGGTCTATCACCAGCTTCCTTGAAAGCCTTCAACTTGATTTGGAAGGTAGGTTCCTTGCACTAGATGGTGAGTGGCGTGAGCCTACATCTGCTCCTCTTCTTCACCTTGTGTCAAGTAGGCTGCCTCTCCCTTTTCTTGAGATTGAGATAAAGTCGATCCGATTTTTAGTGTGTCCGTCTGGTGAAATCCATATTGCTTTGTGGGTATCCTTGTGCTTGAACACATTGCCTGGCCCCCAATCACCAAACCGTTGAATGCACAGAAATCAGCAAACAATTCTCCATTCTTATTCATCATTTCACCGAGTGCTTCTCGACGCATGGTTAGTTCTCTTCCTGTGTTGTCCACTCCCAGTTTGGCATTCAAGTCAGCCAACCCATTAGAATGAATTTTGATGTTGCCAACTGGGTAGGGTGTTGTCCAGTCCAGTGTTGATTGCAGTTGTCTGTAGAATTCCTCCTTTTTCTCTTGATCTGCAATTATTTGTATGTGCATAGCATAAGTCCGGCTAGTAACTAGTGAACTAGTTAACTAGGCGAGGTTGCATTAGTAATTAAGCAGATGATTATTCTTCAGCCTTGCTAAAAATCCTTCATAGGCCATAATCTCCTTTTCTAAATAATCTTGATTTCAATTGACACTCGATGGTGTTCACTTACTGCTAAAAGATTTTTATGCTGGGCGATGATTGAAGAGGAAGTGAAAATCTGTGGGTCATTGACAGGATTGGGACCAACAACCTCAGGGCTACCGACTCGGTGCTCTACCAACTGAGTTATGAGACCTGGGCCCTGATGAGATCTTAATTTCGCTTCAATCACCAGGAAATATTTATAAATGTGAATCATTTTTAATGTCCGCTTTTCTTTGTATGGGACCTAAAGTTTGAAGATCATAAAGCATATGCATGCAAGTACAACAATCTGGAATCAAGCCTATAAAAGTTCAGCGGTTCAAGTTTTCTGCGTATTACAGCATCGCAACAAAAGGGAAAGATGGTAAACCGAACAAAAAATAACGCTACCGAGGAAGACGAGAAAGGAGAACAATAAAGAGTGAGCACATGGTTCATTATGGTCGACTTGAAACCACGTTACTAAGACATAGTCTTCAATCATTTATCCCACTTGTCTTGTGAACCTTAACTAAGCATTCTGCTGAATATCTATTTCCCTCTATGATGCATATTCATACTCATCACTTTGGATACTATTCTCTATAGTAATACAACTTCTACATTGTTATTACCAGTAGTTTGCTAATTACCTAGGCTACAACAAAGCATACTAGACGCATGACAGTGAAACTTTCTTCCACACTATATATATATATATATATATATATATATATATATATATATATATGCCATAAATTGAGTAAGTTTAGATGAGTTGTTGAAAATTTGAGGGTTTTGTGATACTGTAACGACTTGAGAAACTTTCGAATGATCTGTTGTCTTTTTTTCGAATTCTTTTTACTCCACAGAAGGTGCTGCATATATCTGTTCCCCTCTTTCAACGAGAAAGAGTGAGGAATTTATGCAGAATGCAATAACTCCACCTAATCTATGCATATTATAAGTAATTTTCAGTATCTATTCAGCGATATGTATGTGTATGTGTGGTCCTTCTCGGAATCTGTTCAACTTGTTGGCTAATTTGCTACTCTTTTTACTACTAAGTTTGATTTTAATAGATGATATCTTTAACTTCAGTCGCTTGTCGTTATTGACTAGTACGATAATCCATTGTTCGACAGTTCATTGATTTCGAATCTAATTTCCTACTGTAAGATTGTTGTGAAGTGAATCAAACAAGTGGATGAATTACACTACACACCTTGTCAGCATGAAAGATGAAGACTGTGATTTTATCCATTGTAGAAGTCTTAAATGTGTAGTGTCTATGAGTTCATGAATGAGATGAACCAAATATCCAACTATTGATTCACAGGACTGAGTTAATCAACCCCTTGATATAAACTTGGCAACAGCGGGAAAGATAAAAAAACTCTGGTAACAACAACTGCTATCAGTTGAGTAAAAGTCACTGGACCTCGAAGTATTGGATTACTTGGTGTACACGCTACAATTCAACTGTTAGGTGGGGGGGGGATGCATTGACCAATGAGGTTGACAGGAAGGATAAATGGTTATTCATAAAGTTGGCCTATGATTAAGCTTCATTTATAATCGGTTTAAGTTAAAAAGCATGGACCTACTTAATTTTGACCTAATAGCTCTCACGAAATAGATTTTTGCATGAAAATATACTCCAGAAATGTATTGATCAACAAAGAAGAGAATAAGTGTTGCCAATTAGTCAGCGTTATGTTGATTATCATAAGACCATATAAATACTCAGGAAAAAACAAAAGTACTCACTTCCTATGAGGATGATGGTGGTTTGGTATTGTCTGAGCTTTGGTATTTTGTCGTGGATTTCTTATCACCTAGTTTGTTGATATTCTTGGCACTAACCTCATAAAGAAGAGCTATTCGACCCAGTAAGACACTAGGAAATCAAAAGTATCAATAAATGACAGCTGATACTCGTTGCATAAGAGATGGCCCTCGTGCCCTGGTGGCCTACTGGGTAACGCTATGGCATTTAAAGCGATAACTATTGAGTCCAAGTCCCAGTGGTGACCGCATCTCTCACTGGGGTGCAGGTACATTCAGCTGAAGAGTCCCAAATAGGAGGAAACGTGCCTACTGGGTTCTACTGCTCGGCTACCAAGTAGACTTCTTCCTGTTGAAACGTCCACGACAAGATGTCAAAGCTCAGGGAATATCGAACCACCATTGAAGTTACAGATGTTATTGAGTATCCCACTGAAAGCTACACTAGCATCAGCCTCAAATCAGAGTATACCTGGTTGGTTTCAATTCTATCGGTAGTTGAAATTGTACTCTTCTATGAAGTCCTATGTATCAGAATGAAATAATTATCCATTACTTCTTTTTCTCTATCGTTACTCTGATCTATTTTATTCTATAACAAAAACTGTTCCTTTTTAAATGAATTCTAACTTTTATTTGAGTTTCTATGTTCAATAAATTTTTATTGCTATTACTTTTACAATTGTTCTTTGAAAATTTTTTATTCTATTCTCTCCTTATTCTTTCTATAAACGTCCTTTTTAGGTGAAAGAATATATGCCAAATTTTGTTTTACGATACCAACGGGAAGATAATGGTATCTGGTATGAACATGTGAAGAGTGATGGTACACGAGTAAGTTTACAGTCATAAACAAACATTTTAAAAACAAAAAGAAGAAAAAACATTCACTTAGTCTTTCGACTTTGTCTATTCTGTCTTTGCTCTGATTATTAATGAGCTAGCCGTCTTTTCAGTATAATTACTATGTGCCAGATATGTTGTTTAAAAGGTTATAAACAGGCTGACCTTAATTTTATTATCTTCTTACATAGAGTAAGCTATCCATTTAATGAAATTGTCTATGACTGAAGTCCTCTTTGTGTTATTTTCGGTTCAATAAATGATATGACTTTTTTTGAATAATAAAATGAAGAGTAAAAGTAGGTCTAAAGCACGATAATGGGAGGGGGCAAGTAGAACTAATGATTTATTAATATTATTTATCATTCTCACAACATACCTCAATATCTCACACGAAGATGACTTCATTATATGTGAATGCGTGAATATGTTGGTAGGCGGCAGACAAACGAAGATGAATTAACTTTCATGTTTTCAGATTGTAGACTGAGTTGGCTTTCAATAGTGTGCTATGTAGTGAAGATGAAGTAATTTCAACTCATACTAGGTGTTCAACCCGACATACTTCGTCTTATTCGTATTTTACAATACCTACAGAATAAAGCATTCCACTGATGCGATGAAAAATAGATTCACAAAGAAGAATAAATGAATATATCTAGGATCCAGCTCAGTCTGCCACCCCTTTATGACCACTACATGGTTGAAGGGGATAAGCAAAAAGCTGTATCCAATCTACCTCTCGTGTCTTTAAGATACTCATCGGAAGATCATGTTTTCAACCTTACAGACTTGTCTCGTCATTAATCAAACACAGTGCCATTTGGAGCTTTGGTATTGTGTGGAGATTCGACAGTTGGTTCTTTGTTGGTTATCAAAGTAAATAGTTTGTAGCTTTTCTCTGCCGCCTACTGTAATATCATTTTGAGAGTTGGCTGACTGCACTGACAGTTTAACCCATGTGGAAATCTATATCAACTTGAGAGGGTTAGTAGCTGACGAAATTTCACTACGGATGGTTTGATGTATATATTAACCTAATTCATATTTAATGCTGGTAAGATATCCAGCAGTCTTTCAAATGGTGTTTCACACAACAGTCCGTTGCATCTTACCAAACAGCTGTGAAAAATTACTATCACATCTGTCGAGAGCATGAGAAGATTACCAGTAGTTGACTACCGTTGTCTTCATAAAAACGCTGACTTGCGGTGTGAGCTACGTAGAAGTTCAGTTTAGTAGCTTAGGCAAAAAAAGTGAACCAGTTAATATGGTTGACAACCTTCATCAAGTGAGTTGATTAGGGCACACGTCACACATATCTAACTGCCACCTGCTTGAAAGCGCAATGTTACCGTGCATACCAAGAGGGTGGAGGAAGCCTCTATATAGCCGGTCGTGTCACCTTTTCATAAAGTCTATATTTGTTAGTATAACTTGTGCAAGGAAGCTTTAAGCTTCGTGATTGAGGTTCATGCAACAGGTAAAATGATTGATATTTCTTAGCTCAATTAGTAGGATGACACAATCAGTGTCATGGAAGATTTTCATTAGAATCCTGCTCTGATACAGTTTTTTTTCCGGCAACTTCACCAATCATTCGCAACTGATTTGGATTACTTTCAAGATCCAGTTTTGTTATGTTTCATTCCGAAAACAAAACTATGTCCTGTTAAGTGGCACTGGATAAATGTCAGACGTGAATAACCTTTCAGCGTATTTGTTTGAATACTTTCTTCATGTTTCATGTTGATATGAGCATGATGAACTCATAAGATAATTGATTCATTCACATAGTATCCACAACCAGCTGAACAACTGAGATTGAACCTCTGATAAGAAAATACTTGACATGCATTCAACAGTGTCAACAAACTCTGCATTTTACTGCTTTCAATGTACGCGGACAACATGTTTACACGTTTCACATTTACTTTCCTCCTTTTTTGTTTAAATAGGTTCTAAAGGCTAATAACGATCCACGGAATATAGCTAGAACTACACTTGATTCAGTTGTTATCGCTAAGCGTATACGCATTTACCCTTACAGTCATCGATCGAAACAACGAGTATGTCTCCGATTCGCGTTGTATGGATGCGATTTTCCAGGTGAGTTGACGATTTTACTTCAGTTTCCCTTATTCTCTCTCTCTATCGTCAATTAGTGGTTAGGAACTTGTTCTTCAGCTGGTGAATTAGGAGACTGAATCCCCTCTCTCTCTCTATCTCCTACTTACGTTATTTGGACGGTGGAGTAGTTGCACGTTAACACTCCCTGGGTAAGTATGCTACTCAGTCCGGTTCATGGTCCGTGCATGATTGTTACGTTGTGAATGACAGCAATACTGATCAGATAGTCAAAGGTGTCCGCTGTACTTTGCGGAAAATATGCAACAAAAGTTCTGTCACCTGAAATCAACGTAGGGCTTCGCACATAAACGCATTGGTTCAACTTGCCACACTTCATAGTAGTATAAAAAGAACAAGTGGATAGAATAAGAATGATATCAAAGTAGACAAAGTTGTGTGAGGGAATGAACAATCTGAAGATAAGGGTTAACGTTAATATCCAAGCTTTAGAAGACATCAAGAAGTCAATACATCTGCATCATTGTGACCGATTTTCAGCCATGTCACCAGGAGTCCCCAACCAATCATTCTTCTCGTCTTGGGGAACCAAGGGAAGGAGTCTACATCTTCCCATACTACTCAGATCAACAGTTAGAGTCTTCATCGACTGGTACCACTTCTTGGTTTGGTCACCGTTAACCCTCTTTCAACTTTATCCAGCTTCTACTACTGTGGCATATCGAGGTAGGTGGTGACTCAGCATGTGTAGTACATGTCTAAGCCATCTCAGTCGAATAAGGTTCACAATCTCGTCAACCGACTTGACTTTCTTACCTAGTACGTGTCTTCAAAACCCTTTAATCGCTTCATTTCTTCTACTTTTCACCACCATATCTCATAGCCATATAAAAAGATGGAGCAGACTACAATGCATTATACTCGTCCTTTGATAGGTAGTCGGATATCTTGGCAGTCGGTACCAGAGATGGTACAGCTTGACCAACGCTAAACGTACCTTCTGTATGCGAGCTGAGATTTTGTCAGCAACCAGCCCATTCCGTCTGATGCTACTTCAAAAGTAAGTGAAGTAGTCAACATATTCCACCAATTCTTTCCCTATCATAAAACTTGGAGTGCTTGCAGCAGACCAGTTCCGGAGCATCATCTTTTACTTGATAGGCGCGAGATGCATGCCAAACATGCTCAAATTTATGCTTAACACTTTCAGAAGATCCTGCATTTTGTCAGCGTCTTCACCCAGTAGGACAATGTCCTCTATATACTCTAAGTCAGACAGATGACCCTTAGGGTGCAGATCAATCCCTTTGATGTTTGACGTATCTGAGGTTATATCCATTAGCATTACGAAGTTAAATAGAAACGGTGACAGTAGTAATCCCTGAAGAACACCACTAGTTCTCTCATTGAACCTGTACATGGCTGCATGACTTCGAGTACAGAAACTTGATAAACGTATTCTTACTCTGTACTATTTTCACAGTCGGATACTGCCATAACACTGCATAGTCGAAATAGTCAAATGCCCCCTTAGGTTGAGAAATGTGACAAGTGTTGGCCTCCGGTAAGTATTCCGGTGTTCCAATTACTATAAATAGGATTTTCGACTTGGTTTTCTCTTCGAATCGGCCTGAAATGAATTGCCTTCTGTGCTCTCCACTTGTTTATTAAGTATGAAGTTGTATTGACTTTTTTCTCGTCTACTTAATAATACATTTGGAAATGTTTGTGCATCTTCTCATGAGAAGTCGTCTTGGAGAAAGAGAGAACTTGGCTAGGTCTAATTGACTGGTTTACAATGGATTGGAGTAGGTGTATGGAGGAAGACAACGATAGAAAGTGGTTTTTGTGATTGGATGAAAATGTAAGATGGACGTGTCGAACTAGTCGATTCTTGTGTGCACATTGCTATAGTAATTCGGAACTTTGAATAGTACGCTGTTGCAACGAAAAACACCACTCCCAGAGATTATCCATAAAAATCTCCTTTTCAGTTTGTTGTTTCCATAATAATCCATCTCTTATCAACGAGTAATATTTCTGACTTGTGAATTTCCTGAATTTGTAATGGAGAGCTCGGACATGTGAATTCAATCAAACTAGGTACGAAGAAGGATGCCTTTCAAGGATAATGGATGACGATCGTATTATTTAACGAATGAAAAAAAAGTTAGAATTAGAAGACCATTGGATTCCAACCTGATGCCTAGAAGAATTACACTCTTGCTTTAAGGTCTTCAGTTGGATCCCGTATGAGGTGGTCACGGTTACTTTATAGTGAGAATTTCCAAAGCGGAGTGAAATACACGTACACCCCCCCCCCCCCCGATTTCACTTATCCTTTAAATGATACTGTTAAAAACTCTACTGTTTTTAAAAGTAGAATCTTCACACCTGATTCTGCTTAAAGACACTATGTGTACACATTGAGAGTTATTTGGAAATTGTCATGAAACGGATATTTCGGATGTTACTTCTTGTCTCAATTCATTCCGAGTCTAGGTAACATTCATTTTGGAAAATTTTCTCGAGAAACGCGAACAGCTCTACTCTTCTTTGCTTTTCCATATTTGTTAAGTGAAGTAAATGCATTCAGTCTCTTAAGTATGATGTGGCTTACAGTTCAGGCTGCGTAAAAATTCATTTGTTTCAAGTTGATATTTGTCAAGGTGTGACATCAGTTAGAGAACCACGGAAAACCTAGGAGTACTGGACAACTGTTTCGTAATGGTATTGAACTCATCAGAAGTGCTGAAGCATGACCATGCCAAGGATTGAACCCAGGGACTTTAGGTCTCACAGCGACCACGCTTCCATTCAGCCACTGGGTCAGAATTCAACGCTCCATATGCATTTGTTGCCGGTGATAGTGGGTCTAGCTATTCTCGCCACATATTACACATCCATGACTAAACTAGAAACTGGCTTCACTTTGAGGATAATTATGGTTCTTTTCCCGCCCTTATTATTACTATTATTGTCATTATTAATGCCTATTTTAAACGTGAGTAATTCTCTTCCTTTTTTATTACCTTCGATCACGAATGTGACTAAAATTGGCATATATTTATGTTTGTCTGTACACATACAATACTTAAGCATAGGGTTGTTTTTTGTTCATCTACACCATACTCCTTTTATGAGTATATTAAGTACGTCCTGCGAACGCGTATGTGTGTACATGTATGTGAAAGATAAAATCAGCTTTCTACGTTATGCTCACTTTCATCAATCCCTCATATGCTTTCATCCTCCCATCCATGCCTCCCCCTACCGAGCTTTTTCTTCTCTTTGGTCTGCGTTTAAATTTTATCGCGATGATGCTACTGTTGTTGCCTTGTTGTTTTAGGCAAGTATAGATATTTTAGATGAGTCATTCATTTCGACACACACTACAAGGCGGCAAGTCAATTAATTAGGCATCAGTGATAATATGCTTAATATGTAGCAGTTAGAAGAATTAGGTTACTATTAATTCTAATAATTGTTGTTAATCCTCTAGTAAGCAGCTAGTAAGCTGTATCATTTCCATTGTGTCGTCATTATTCATTTCATTTGTATTTATATATAAATTAGGTCACACCGTTAGATAACAATTCCATTTTAAAGGCTGAAATTATTAGACATCGTCGTTCAAATGACCTGACCTTTGTCTATAAGAATGAATCCTTAAGATGTGACGTATGTATGTATATCGTCTTGAAACATATATTGGCTGATTAACATTCTTTGTTTGCATGCATGTTATTCGGCTATTGTTTACGATGGTAGTCGTTCATTCATATGGTGTCACTGTGTGTGTGTGTATGTGTATGTATGCTTCAAGGGTAAATATCTGTATATATACATACCCAGTGGACTGGAAACAATCTTATCTTATCCATACAATACCAATATTCAGTGAAATGTTTCTCGAATTACAGATGTATGTTTATAAATATGCCACAAAATATTCATTTATAACAAATAACAGAGACATGATGAGAATTTGGTTGATTAATATTCACTACACCACTCTCAGAATATACTAATTTTATGAGAATAAACAATTTGTAGATTGGTATCCAGAAATTGTCTGACGAATAGTTCACATCGACATTTTGCATAACTGTGAGTCTTCTAACATGATCATAATACTATGATCATATGTACTACTATTATGATGGTATTGGATGTTGGGAATTGACTAGGGCTTCCTAAGAGTCAACTTCTAACAGCTAATACCAGTGCAACATCATAACATGACGCCCAGCCTGGTGGCAAGACTAAAGACCTAACCGATAGACTTTGATCAGCACTATGGACTTGACAAGTTCATCGGTTACCATTCGATGACTAATTTCTCCACTACGAGAGCCATATGAAACGCTCCATGAAATGATAATAAAATGGTCACCCATAATGGGTGAATGATTTCTAACTAATTTTGATGATGTTGTGTTCTCTGAACTGGATGGTTTACTCATGAAGCTTTCATCGTCATTCTAGATAACTACTTATATCTTTCAGTGGTACGTCTGTTTTATAACCAGCTTCTTGTGTAGATGATACTATTGAGTTCTTTCTATCAGTTTTAATCGTTGCTTGTGTATACACAATACGATCACTAAACACGCTTCACTTCAGGGTCATGTCACTTTCTATCGATAGATTTCAATTAGCTCCATAGTCATGACAATTGCATCTGTTGCCATGCCTTATCTTATCCATGTGTGAAAATCAGTTATAGGAGGAACGAGATGTGACCTTGGCAACATAGCGGTACAGTCTTCATCTTCGGCATGTGGTGGTATTAATACACGAGCTACAGGGAAGTTAGGTGTAGAGTCCTGAGTCGAGGAAATAAGTTCGTTGGGTAGATTGGAATATATGTCTCGGGTTCCACTGCTAGCCACCATCCATCCTCACTAGCAAGCTGTAAATGGAATCGGGACTTGCGTTCCGCATTTCAAGTGACAATCTACCTCACCACACTACGTTGAATGAAGCACGTTTAGGTTAGAAGAAAGCTGACAATGACCCAAACAGGATGTGCTGCCAATCCCTGAAGTCTCTAGATGTTTATCTGTGAGCGAAGTAGGAAAACGTGAACTTCTCAGTTAAGACAGATAAAACAAAATAAATTGACACTGGGATACTCTGAATGATTTACTTCAGAATCGGTTGCAGTAGTTCAGATGCATTCATGCCGTTTCTTCATCTAAATCCCAATAATACATTTCTTCATATACCTCTTTTGGTACGTGGTTGTGACTGAAGGTGAAATTAAAGCCTAGGTCATGGCGGGGTTTGAACCAGCAGCATGGTAAACAGTTGGACTTAGTAACTCAGTACTGGTCCGGTAATCCGGCGGCTGATATTTTGAATCATGCTGTGACCAAGGTTTTCATTTCAAAACTCGTGGCTGCACCTTGTTGAGGAGTGCAGCAAGCACGTCTGTCAACTACGAATATGTCAAACAGTCCAGATACACTGTTTTTTACACTGAAGTTCTCAGGTTCAGGGTACAAATTATAAACGTCACACTTTCTATATTGCTGGTCAAAAAAACTTCTTTAAATACTAATCCAAGTACATCGTCTGCTTGAAAGCAATCACTACTTCAGTTAGTTTATCACGGAAGTAATTAGCTTAGGGATGCCAAATTATCCACAGATAAGTTATGGTGAGATTTGAATTTCATGGTGAAAAGATTTCTAGTAAAGTTAAGCTGCGCTAAAACAATCAATTGCATATACTTATATGTAATTAGTTACTGAACATTGAATCAGTTTACTTCTGGCGGATCATTTAATCTATTCAGCTACTCCAATCGGTCCACACATCTCTCTTCCTATTTCATAAAAAATGAGCGATCTGAGTTGATTGCAATAATCAAATAGCTAAGTTTAATCAGATAAATAGCATCAATATTCATCACTGACATTTGTTGATATATTTTTTTAAAGTAGTCAACAGCAGGTAATTACGTCCGCACTCACGCAGATGTATGCATACCACATACTAGGCTTGCAATCATTTCGAAGATGTATTGTGTTCGTTCGTTTTCATAGCCTTGCCTGACATAGTTTTGATCTGTTCTCAGTAGTCAATCTCATCTAATTTCATTTATGCTGATAACATCGAATTATTTTTTCCTCACTAAAATATGCATGATCTTTACTTATTAATTAGATAAATTGGACTGATTCTTGAAAATATGTATGTGTATAAACGTGAGTGAAATGTTACTCAGTGTAGTATAGTCTATTTGGGACTCGTCAGCTGGGTGCACCCCCCAGTGAGTGATGTTGTTCCCACTGGGACTAGAACCCAGTACCCATCACTCCAAACGTCAATGGGTTATCCACTAGGCCACTGGATCACGAGAGCCAACACTTGCGCAACGGGCATTGATTGTTATTGCTGCTGAAGCCATGGGCAGTGGGTTTGAGTCTCAGTGGGAACAATATCACTCACTGGGATGTAGGTGCATCTAGCTGACGAGTCCCAAATAGGACGAAACCCGCGTCCTGGATTCCTCTGCTAGTCATCAAGATCAGTATAATATCATGAATATTCAGCAGTAGCGAGACATCTGTATAAGAGCCCGTCTACTTACAGAGGTGGAGCAGTTCGATCCAGTATATCAACGGGAAATCTCAAGTATCAATAAACAACAACAGAAACGTTAGTCACTTGGTCGTAATATCAGTTCTATAGTGCTTATTCAAATCATGCCCTAGTCTTTTGTTGCATTTCTGAGTTAAACCCGTCGCCGATTTGTCACAATTTTGGCTGGTTGTAATTGTCTAAAGCACGTGATTGGTCTCGTATATACTTGGCCAGTCTCGTATACCCAATGAGTTATACAGTTTGGCCCTCCCAACCGCTGAAAACAGAACTCAAAGTTTAGGGCTTACTGTCCGTATGTTTTTAGCAATGTCGTTCATTTGTATATACGAGTGACTGCTAAGATAACCAATTACGTTTCTTTCCTTTAGGCAAAACTACCTTTCTTGACGAAATACCGGAACCTGATTGGCTATTTCAGCAGTTACTAGAGTGACCTTTATAGTCACCCGTATATGAAAGCTAAATTACCTGACCACAACGCACCCACCATAATTTATAAAAATGAGACAACTGATTTCGAGCACAAAAGATGAGATAATGCACAACAACGGATTTTAATTCAACAAGCAATTATTTCCAAACTATTAGTCATATATAAATGGATGATTGAGGGGTCAATTGAAGGCTTTCTAGCCGAGTTATACAAAAAAGCCACCAATTAACTCATAAGTAAGGTGACTTTTAAACTGAAGACCGACAACATTTATCTAAGATTCATGTTTTCCACCTTTCGCCTTTTATAACACCTTTTCACCTTGGCTTCTAACAATCTATGTTCTGTGTGACGATGTATAACTTTTTCAGCAAAGTTGATAAGCAGTTGACTCTAATTCTTTATGTCAGATATCGTTGATCGTGATTAACTGAAATCTAAATTATCATTTTGACTATCTGAGATATCCGTTGTTTGGCAGACTAATATTTATACTGGGTGATGATTGAAGGTGGAATGAAAATTTGGACCGCAACCGAATTCAAACCAGTGACCATATAGTTGTCAACCCGGTGCTATACCAACTGAACTAAGAGGTGTGACTGCTGACAGGATTTTTATCTCACTTCAATCACCAAGGGTTTTGTCCGACTACTATGTGAATTCGCGACGAGTTACTATCGCTTCATCGTACTCACACTGGCTACCTAGTCAGGACTGAAATCTAAATGCCGGATTGTTGTTAAGTAGACTGCTGAATTATAATTTCCGTGTTTTGGACGATGGGTAGTACTCATCAGTAAGCTTTTTACTGTACGCTATCCATAGGTCAGTTGTTTTTGTGTGCGCCTCAATATTCACTGAGTGCTATATCATATCATTTCACTTGCCTAATTTACTTCGTATCATTTCAGATGGTGTTACAGCCTATTCAATGCCTCAAGGGGATACAATCACATATGGTCGATCAGTATTTGGTTCCCTCTATTCAGCCCCACATAGTTTTCAAGATTTAACTTATGATGGTCAGTTGATTGAATCAGAGAATCAATTGATGGGTGGAATAGGTCAACTAATGGATAATGTAGCCTATTTAGGCAATGTTACCCTACTATCAGATTCACATCCTAATCAACCTGGCTTTCATTTTGTTGGATGGCAAATCCCTAATCGAGATTTACGCATTGTTTTCAAATTTGATGAAGGTAAGTATTGTTATTTTGTTGTCGACGGGAATGATTTTTTTCGTACAGGTTATAATGCATATTTTTGTGCGTAAATTTTTTCGACAATTCACTATTTAGGAAGAATACAATGTTGATGACGCTGATGGTTTCGTCTATAACGACAGTGAAAGTTTCACAATGACGTAATCTAGCTAGTGGAATACAGTGTGATTTTCAACTGTAAAATGCTTTAGGAATGAGAAAATCATGTGAAATACAGGCAAAAACATCTGCAGTTCAGTAGCCATTTCTAGCTGCTTTTCAATTTTGAAGCCCAGCTACCCTTTTCTATCTTATTGCAAACTTTTTCACCTGTCAATGGTTCATGACGAAGCTTTCAGTCATCCCTTCAAGTTTTATACTTCATTTTCAAAACTATTTCCAGCATGTACAATGAATGTTTAGTTCGTGTTCAACAGTAAATTGTACAGGCAAGTTGACAGAGTGGCTAAGGGATCTCTATTAAGCCCTATATTTGTAGATATATTTTTCTGAAAAATCAGAAGACAGCCCTTTGAAAGATGAAATTGCCGATATGGGGTTATACTACCGATCTACAGATGATACATTTTTAGTCTCATAAATGTCTTGTGGAGTTCAATTCTGGATCACTTTAATAGCGTTCAATCATTAGTTCATCTTATACTTATGACAGTGAAATTAATAATTCGATACATTTTCTTGACGAGTTAATGAAAAGAAAAGAAAATATGCTCCATAAAAGAAAAGTATATGGAGGAAACTGATTACTAAGTCACACTATACACTCTTTCTCAGCTTTTTACTAATGATGTACGAATGAAATATAATCAGATGCCTAACATTTGAAGTAATATCAGGTTTTATTCACCATGGACTGACATCAGTCCATGGTAACTGTTTTTTTTACCTGTTTCTATGGATGTACAATAAAGCACGAGAACATTTACCGGCTTCGTTTGGAAAAGATGAAGTGAAGTAACCCAGTGAATAATAATAAACACGCGAACGACGCTAACGCGATGACACATCCGGACCAGATGCAAATGGCGACTGTTCGCCGCCCTCTGAACCTTATACCTCGCTGAGCCGCGAAATCAGAAGACAAAGATCGACCTGTGACTAAAAAAGACACTTTATTCGACAAAAATATATCACTTTTGTACGGTTTTCATTGACATATAAAACCACTGGGTCAAAAGTTGAAAATTTATTTTGATTGGTCAATTATAAGATAAAATTGTCCAATAAGATTTTTCCTGACCATACAGCGACATGAAATAAAAGTCAAAATCCAAAACTTTTACCTTGGCGGTTGATAATTTATAATGTTGGTTCCCATTTAGGCCACTTTTTGTCATGAAGTAAAAGTAATAGAAAGACTTATCTCTTAACACATCTGATAGACCCACAGGGTACCGCATAAATGCCAATAAAGCCTTTTCTGTCGTACACCATATCCCAAAAACATTACAGCTTCCAGCTTGCCCACACCTTCTCCACTTAGCTGAAGCTGTAGCAATAAGATTGATCAAACCCGAACTCTTCATTTGAAAAGAATACGTTCAGGTGTTATTCCTCGCTTCACTCCCAATTAACTAAAGGCTATTTTCATCAGCCTTCTTTGTAGTATTTTCCTGTCTTACTTTCATCACCGCATTCTTCATCTGTATGTGGGTCATCCTAGTACTTACACATTTTGGGGGAAGTCTATCTGCCTCCAGTCCCCAATTCATATTCCATCTTCGAATTGTATGTGCCTCAAACTTGGTCTATTTTTATGCTGAACAATTTCACTTAACAATTGAAGAACCTGAAGAGAATTTATTGGAAAAAATATTCTTCGTTTATATTATCTTTTAAGGAATGAAATGGGAATCCTTATACGTTCAAAATGCATAGAAGTTCAGCATTCAACTAAGTTGAGAGTGTGAATGAATCTCAACCAATAAAAACAGACGACGACTGATTGTGCACCATTCAAAGTTGGAAAGTCTTGACCACTGGATTTTTCCGTGCATGTTTGGACTTCAGTTTTCTCAAACGATGATTATAATTTGCCGCAGTTCACTCAGACCCTTTGTACGGCTGTGAGACATGACCTTTAAAAGTAAAGAAAAGAAGCGATTAAAGGGTTTTGGTCACGCATGTCTTCGTAGCATTGCTGACGCTTGATGGAATCCCCGTGTGAGCGATGTTGAGGTCAGGCGAGGGGTACTAGGCAAGAAAGTCAAGTCGGTTGACAAGGTTATGAACCTTATTCGACTGAGATGGCTTAGACATGTACTACACATGCTGAGTCACCACCTACCTCGATATGCCATAGTAGTGGAAGCTGGATAAGGTTGAAAGAGGGTTAACGGTGACCAAACCAAGAAGTGGTACCAGTCGATGAAGACTCTAACTGTTGATCTGAGTAGTATGGGAAGATGTAGACTCCTTCCCTTGGTTCCCCAAGACGAGAAGAATGATTGGTTGGGGACTCCTGGTGACATGGCTGAAAATCGGTCACAATGATGCAGATGTATTGACTTCTTGATGTCTTCTAAAGCTTGGATATTAACGTTAACCCTTATCTTCAGATTGTTCATTCCCTCACACAACTTTGTCTACTTTGATATCATTCTTATTCTATCCACTTGTTCTTTTTATACTACTATGAAGTGTGGCAAGTTGAACCGATGCACTTGTGTGCAAGGTTCTACGTTGATTTTGTAAGTCAGTCAGTCAACCTTATGAAGAATTGGTTAGTATTCAGTTGATTCCAGTCGGTTCGGCGAAATAAACTTAAAGTTAATCACTTTGCCTGTAAATAACTCAGTTTTATTCAGATTTAATAGTTGAACTTTTAATTCTATGGTATGCTTATTCAGAACGAAGTTTATCGAGTATTGTATCTATTTCATCATGAAAATACTTAATGACCGGGACTCAAGTTCAGAAAGCAACGCAGTCTGAACAAATTTAGGTTGTTCCTTACTACTGCTACTTTTAGATGGCTGCTTTTTGTGACAGTGCTAAGAGATGATACTATAAGCATATACTGAATGTTCTTAATGGGTTCATTTATCTTTTTTACTTGAACAGTCCGAAGTTTCTTTTGGCTTCGAATATTTACCTTCGATTCTGTTCCACTACAATCACGTGTTTTCTCAAGAGCTGTTGTTGAATTTAGCATGGATGGAAAGAATTTCGGTAAACCGATTGAAATTTTAACTAGTCGTGCACGTATGGTTGATCCAAATCAAATCAATCCAACAAGACTATCGATATCTGATGAGACATCAAAAACGAAAAGGTCAGTCAATTCAATCAATCCATTGACTCAAGAGACTATTGTTTATAGTAATCGTGAATGGGATGGTGCATTAGTTGTACAGATGCCTTTAGCCAGTAATACAGCACGTTATGTCAGCCTTACTTTAACACCGGGCGATTCATGGATTTTGTTGTCTGAAGTGCAGTTCAACTCCAGTAAGTTTTCTTTAGCACATTTGTGTTGTGTCCAACAGTGAAAGAGTTATTAGCTTAATTTTATATGTTTCACCTCATTCTTCAGATGTTTTATTGACTACAGCTAACGTTCCGCCCGTGTTCTCCATCATTTCAGAGGTGGTAAAATCTATTGGTGTTATGTAGTGGTTACTTTATATTTTGTATCTTTCTCGTTCACTTCAATGTCTGCAAAGTTGTCTCGATATGACTCTAGATAATTCTAGTTTGTCTTGCGAGTTAACGGGTAAGCATGATCTGTCGATGCGAGAGCTTTGAACAATGCATAGAATATGCTACAGGGTGCTATAAGCGAATGTGTAGATGAGATTATCTTCTTTACCACATACTTCTCATCTTTTCAGCACAACTTAAAAAGTGAGTATATCTGATTCCTTACGATGATATCTGCCTTACTACCTGAGTCACCAATCAAATTCGAGCTGAGTAGGATAATGGTGCTTAAAGTCTGATGAAGACAATAACTAGTGAGGATCATTGAAAGCTCTGCAACTAAAGGCTTGTATGCAAGCATTTCTGGAGTGAATAGGGTTCTGTCCAAAAAACCTTTTTATGTAAACATCTATAAACTAAGGTATCAATATTCCCAACTGTTTCAAACTAGGTAATCTTTGTTTTGAATCCAATCATGGTACAGCTAAACGAAGATGAGGCAGGGACTTAGACCTTCCAGAGGCATGTCAGTCATGGCAGGATTTGAAGTAGCATTCAGCATGCGATGAGGGTTCGAGGATAAGCTCCAAAAAATGTAGAAAGGTGCTTGTCTTTGATTGGTACTACCTTCAGGATGGAACATTTGTCTATTGCTTCAGTATTTTTCGGATGAATGATTCACTGAAAACTGCCAAATTTAAGAAAACCGCGTCACTAACTTTTTGAAGGACAGAATTTCTGAACATTGATGTTAGATGTTAAGAGTCAATCGATAGATAAGAGGCCCTGGACCTAGGTTTCGTGCTTGTTTTGAACTCATCAGCAAGGTGTCTGCACCTATGAGGAAACTGGTATTCCCTGTGTGGTTTGAACCTTTGTCATTCAGTGCTAAAGTTACAGACTTCACTGCCAATTTATTCTGGTCACGACTGCCACCATGTAAGATTGGACCAAGTAAAGGATTCGGTCCACCATTCAACAACCGATGTAGCTATTTAGTCCTTAATGGTGATCAATTTGTGAATCCTTTTATGGAAAATCCAGACCTATGCGATCACCAAGTAAAAAGAGGGAAGATAGACACTCTCTCAAAACTCTTCTTGATGATGAAGGTCATCACAGCACTTATAGTATAGTTTGTTGTCAGACTCGAACTAGTAAAGGGAGATTCTCACTATGATATTCTCCAATTCCTATGTTCCTTCCCAAAACGGGTAGATTGGATGTAGAGAGATTCTCGATCAAAGTGTTCATGCTTATGAGACTGTCTTTAACTCATTACGTGCATAATGTACTAGGTAATATAAGGATATTTAGCTGTAACTTGTGTCAATCAAGATTCCTAACTTTTCTCTTAAAATTTCGTCTACTGTTTACAACAACAACAATAACAAAAGCGTTAGCAGCACCACATTCATGCACACATTTTCATCCTTTTTTGTATTCAGTTTACTGACTACATCCAGTCTAGACGACACTTATCTTTTATTACCGTAATACGTATAAGCCATATTCACCCAATTTTTTCAGACATTCTTTTTTCTATTTTTATTTACTCCCCGCTATTGTTCCATCTCAATAATCTCCTCACTTTGTTCAGCAATTAACAACAAAGGCATAAAAACAAATGCCATTTTCTTTTTTACCACTTTCAATGAAATCAGTTCAATCCCTGGTAATCATAATAATTATGATTTGTTAACCTAACAACTCAAGTTGATTTGAAGATTTTTTGCCGACCAGATCAGTGATTTCTAACTGCTCAAATTGTTCAGTAGTAGTAAATATCGTTAATTACTATTGTCTAATAATTAGCATCTTTTGAGGGTAATAAGGATTTTAATTTTGAGGTAGTATTCATCACGGAATGATATGAGTTAGAGAACAGTTGAAAACCTGGGAGTGCTAAACTGCTGTTTCGTCTAAGTATGGGGTTCCTCAGCAGTGCCCACCCATGACTCACTTGGCTAGGGAGCGGACTCAAGGCCTTCAAGTTCCACGGTGACACGTGGGGTCAACCAGCCGAAAGGGAACTGGATGCCAACTTAAGACCTCGGATAGTAGCCGTGCTATGTCGAGAATTGACGGAAAGTTGGAAACTGTAAACCACTGAACTCCGACCCAGTGGCTAAATGGATAACACATTCGCTGGAAAACCTGAAGGTCCTGAGTTTGATCCTTAGCCGAGTTGTAGATGCGTACCGCTAAGGATTTCCCCAATATGACGAAATAGCTATTCAGTGCCACTAGGTTTTCAGTAGCTCTCCAGCCGACATCAGTTCGTGATGAATACTGTCTCAGACCCCCCAGCGCTGTTCGGGGTGTTCATTATGTGGTATATGGTGAAATGACTGATTATTACTCATAGGAAGCAACCACGGAGTTCCTATTCCTCAACTCAGTGGTCACGTATTCCCTCGCAGATTGACATATCTTCACTTTATTCCTGGAACAAGGTAACGGTATATACCATCGAAAAACCCCAAATTAAGATGGGAGGTGACTATCCAGTAGCTCCCAAGCTTATTCTTCCTGTTCTTTCAATCTTTGCTGAAAATAAACGTCTCTATTCTGAACCAGCTTTTAATACTGATCAGAAATGAGTGTTCTATACTCTCTACTATTCAGTTTTATTCTTATTAATTATCTTCAGTTACAATAAAAGACGCTAAAAAGTTTCGTCTTTTTATTTTTATTCCCCATAGCTATTGTACATCCAAAATCATCGTTACTTTTGGCTAATACAGAGTTGAATTCACCAGCGAAACTGTTCGATGAAAGTAGTCCACATGAACAGAATTCATTTAACAATCATCCAAATGAAAATTTATTTCGAAGTTCACCAATGGTGGACAATTCAGAGATAAATGCGATTCACGATTCACAGAATGGTAAGTTTATGTTAATTGTTGTCATCTGTGATTTCTCAATTTCATAGGTGTGTTAACTTTTGAATATAGCGATTATGATTCTAAGGTAAGTCGTCTGTGTTATCGACTATCTAGGTCAAACTTGGATAAAAATTTCGGATTTCAATACTAAGTTTTAGGAATAACTTTGGTCAAAGGTTTAATTCACGGTAGATCACAATCTACGCTACACATTTGAACTGCCATTATAATTACTTCATAATGGCTTCCATCGTTAACCTATCTTGATTAGGGAAATATTAACAACCATATAGTGTTGGATTAACTGCTCTCGTTCTAGAGTAGATCTCCTCATCAATACACCAGATATCCCAAAGGGGCTGAATAACTCAACATTGTCAGCTTCCGTAGTGAACTCCATTTATCTACTGCTCTTTGAATCTATTATCTCCAGTTTGCAACAATCGTGGATCCTCAGTATGCTGCAACTATCGTCCAATTTCATTGATGGATATATGTTTGCATACGTGAGTTTGCTAACTGGCCTAGTAGATAACACCTTGGCGTTTGAAGTGATGGGTACGAGATTCGAGCCCCAGTGGGAAAATACCATCACTCACCGGGGTGCAGGTGCACCCGGCTGATGAGTTCCAAACACGACGAAACTTATGTCCTGTATCCTACTGCTAACCACCAAATAGAGTGCAGTACTTCAGGGTTGATTTAACTAGGTGTGGGGATGAACAACTTCTTTGTTACCAACTGGTGTCATTTGCGAATACCAGTGGGGAACTAGGAATCTATCAGTATCTTTTTCTTACTATCCTGAAACTCACTATCATTTCGTACTCCTGATTCATGTTTAAATCGAATGTAGAATTCCTGGAAAACACACAATCACACCGATCAGTTCATGATGACCTAAAAAGTTCATTGGGGAAGAAAAAATATACTCAACAATAGTTTCCTTTCCACTCTAACCAGAATCACAAGGTAGGTATTGATTATGGTTCTCTCAGTGCAATAGATTTACACTACCTAGGAAGTAACATTCTCTTCATGATTGTCAATCTCTTTATTTATAAATACCAATGGGCAAAAATGTGTTAGGCTCAAGATTTCCTGTTGATTACCTTCAACTAATCCAAACTTCATTTAAATGAATGTCGAAGAATTATTACAGCCTTTTTTCCCACTTTATTGATCCCTTCTAAACATGTATCGGAAATAGAACTCATCAAATGAAATTTACTATGATGAGTTTATTTGTTAGCTTGTTTCTTTGTGTACATATTACTTACGTCTGTTTGTCGTTTCACACACACACACACACACACACACACACACACACACACAGTTATTCGTCCGTTGTGCCTTACTTATATACAAATATATATTTATTATTCCGCTACTTTTAATTTAATTTAATTTTTCTCTTTGTTGTGTAACATTCGCCTGCGTTCTTCTTCTCTATCTCTCACTCGCTAGCTTGTAGTTATTTGTTCTTTGTAGAATTAATTAGATTATCTCACTAATGTGTATTTGTGTCATTTGTGTTCCTGTGCCCATCTGTGATGATGATTTAGCGTATGCTTCATTTTATGCAATGCTCCATTTGTAATTCGCTTTTCTCCTATGATTTCATTAATATTCTTATCTATTCGTTTGGACGCTTCGAACTACCCAATGTGTATGTGTGTATGTGCGTACGTGCTCACATCTTTCAGACTTCCGTTGAAGCCACAAATATGCTATGACAAGATGGGGACAACTAAAGTAAATGGCTTAGAAAAAAAATTTCTCTCTAAAGAAATCGAAGTAAACAACAGATGAAATATTAATTTGAACCGGATGAGAATGGAGAGAGGTGGTGTATTGTGAGAAGGAACGATGCAATCAAGCACGGACATCTTTATTCAAACTAATTTCCTATTCTACACTTTTTTTTTGTTTCACCGTAGAAAATGTTTTCCTTCTTTCACTAGAGTAGTTAAGCAATAATCAGATTTCTGGCATGTGTACATGTTCTCTTTCTCTTTTGCTTTCTTCAATTCTTTAGATGTCTTACTTCCGCTATTCTCTAAGAATTCCGTTCTATTTCGTTTTTAATTTTGTTATTAATTGCACAGGATATCTTGTTATACTTGAGCATAGTTGTAGTTGTGTTTAAGCCGCATGTATGTTTTATCCATTGTTTTTCCATCTCTCCATTGACAAATATGTTGCATATGTTTTGTCATCAACTTTCTCTAAGTGTAACTTCTGTTTGAGTAGGGTTTCTGGTGGAAGTCCATTGAATAGTTAATTCATGAAGGCATTGGCTACTAGAGTGAGCTGTGTTCGGGATATTAATGTTTCTTCGTCATTACGCTTTATGAGTTTGCAGAAGTCATGACATTATATATCTTCACACCTTTTCTCTCTGTCATTTAGTTTATTTACCATTAGATTAGGGAGATGACTTTCAACTAATAAGTTACGGGTTCGAACCCCGCTTCACCTGACTAGGTTTGGGCAGCCAGATCTTATTACTAGCCCTCAGAATAGGAGTGGCTCATTGCCTACTGCACGAATGTGCTCTTCTTCCTCTGTATCATTATTTTCATCTGTTTGTTGTTCCTCTCCTTAGCTTCTGTCTTAGCATCTTAGGCTGATACTTGATTATACCAGGTGTTCAACAGTAGACATTAGGTTATTAGAGGTGATCAGTAGGTTACTTTGTACACACTTATGTGTAGCGGAAGTTGTCACCTTGTAATTACTTCTAGTGGTGTTCACAAAGTTGTAATGTCATGAATGGGGCATTCAAATGTCGAAAGGTTGAATACAAAGGAATCATAGCATCCGACTTGTCCACGATTACAAAGCTCGATAACACGTGACATTGCTGTCAGCTAGCATCATATTAAATTGAAAGATTTTCAACCGTAAAACCCATAATGAATTCTGATTGTTCTTCACCTCTGTTTATATATATCACTTCAGATTATGTCACCTTCACTTTTTTCACTGCAATTTCCTCTCGTCGAAGTAAGCAAACTCATTATTCATTTTACATTTGTATAGAAGGTAGAAATGGTGATTATTATTTTATCAAATTTTTGGGTGGGACGGAGTGTTTGCAGCCAATATTTTTCAGAAACGGAAATCGAATCTGCCACCTTCAAGTCTGCAGGAGTGACTTCTCTTACAAAAAGAAATTTTGTGGTACTGGGACTGCCAGTCGCTTCTCTGTCTGTCTGTTTGTCTATCTATTTATCTATCTTTGGGCACGTTCATATATGTCGGTTTCCGTTGTTTATCCCCTGTTGTCATTGAATTTTAACTCATTACAATAGGAGATACAAAGCAGCCTAGAATAGTGAGATATATTACATTATATTATTTGTCCCTTGGGTTCCTAATGGAACATAGGACTTCAGTAGCACGTCTACAATGGGCTCTGTTCTCTGCAATCTTCTGAACCTGGCTCCACGACAGCCCACAAGCTCTCATTTCTTCCTCACACAATCTCCTCCATGTCACCCTCACCTCGGACGTCCAACTCGTCGCTTCCCATGGGGATTCCACTCGAGGCACTGGCCTGACGCGTGATGTCCCCAGTCGGCCTTCTCAGTGTATGCCCAATCCAGTACATCTCCACTTCCTTCCACTGCATATTTGTTGAGTGATAGCTTCTTGGTTGGTTCGTTGCCAGAGTGAGCTCCTTGTTGCTTATTCTTATTACTCTGGCCATCTGATCTTCAGTGTCAGTAACGAGTGAACGTAAGCAGTTGTTGATGAATGTCTCCAGTTTTTTGGAAATACTTTTCGTAAGGTGCCAGGTCTCTGAACCATATAGGAGCACTGACTTGACTGAATTGGTGTTGAAAATCCGAATGTTGCTGACTCTTTATGCTGAGTGGAGTGCAGAAGATCTCCACACTGGTTTCAGGCTAATGAAAGCCTGTCATGCTGTCTGTCCGATCCTGAATTTGACATCCTCGTCTGTGCCTGTGTCGCCTGTAGTTGAAACAGTGCTGCCTAGATAGGTGAAGGAGGCTACTTTCTTTAAGTTTCTCCCATTGACGGTGATTGGAGTTTGTTGTTGTTGTTGGTGATGTTGGTTAGGTATCTTCATCACTTCTGTCTTCTCTACATTCACTTGAAGGTTCCGTCTGATCCAGTTCAGTCGACCACAATCAGGAAGATGATCGGTGATAGTAGGCAACCTTGTTTTACTCCTGTCTTCACTTTCACTCCAAAGGCATCACTGAGCTTCCCATTGTGAACTACTTGACATGTGGCGTCTTCTTATAGTTGTTGAATGAAATTGATAAAGGTTTGCGGTATTCCGTAGTATTGAAGCAGCTGCCTACCAAATTACTTCTCGGTCGACGTTGTCAAAGTCCTTCTCAAAGTCGATGAAGTTGAGGTGAGGTAAAGAGTTGACTGTCATTCTATACTCTGTTCTATGATGATGCGTAGTGCAGCGTTGTAATTTGGTCCTCATATGATTTGTATTTCCTGAATCGGGTCAGCCAGCCTGTTCCGGTCGTAATTTTGAATGCAGCGTATACTTTAGTCTCTCCAAGATGATGCGGCTTAATATTTTGCTTGCTGTGAGTGGACAGGAGCATGGTTCCTCGCCAATTCTTGCAAAGACTTGGGTCGCCCTTTTTTAGGAGTTTGACAAGGTAGTCCTTCCAATCAGTGGGTGGGTACCTTCCCTTCCTTCCTTCCTTCCTTCCTTCCAAACCTTCTGTAATAGTGGTGTGAGCATATCCGCTGTTGTCTCTGCGTCTGTTCTCATTGCTTCTGGTGGGATTCCATCTGGTCCTGCTGCTTTCCCACATTTCAGTAGCTTCATAGCGTTCAGGACTTATTTCGTCTCTCCGATTCCAGAGAGGAATAGGTTTGTTTTTATGTTATATATTTTGTGTGTGCTTTGAAATTTCTGTAGTGGTTGGATTGGTTTTTCGGGGTATGGTTGCTAACCCTATTCCCAACCTTCCCCGTTTACCCGGTCTTAGGACCGACTA